TCATCAGCTTGACATGAAAATGCAACATACAGTATTCAGTAGGATTCTGCCTGTAAGCCACTCTGTAGGGCATTAGAAAAACAACAACTGCTGCCTTTTTTCCAGTGAAGATGATAAAATATTTAGGCTACTGAATGCATCTCTGAATGGTGCCTGCATTACCTGTTGTCTATCTTCAGATAAGACAAATCTAGGCTGGAATAGGTACAGAGAAGGGCTAAAAGATTAGTGGATGAGAAGAGCTTGTTTACAGTGACTCATGTCTTTTAAAACATTGAATGGGAGGAGGTATAGTTACACCTGATATTTCATTTTCTGAAGTGATTAGTGACATAACCTTTTCAAATCCAAACTCAAAAATACGTGGGTCATAGTATCAAGATTTGCATTCAAGAGGAGCAGCTTTCATTTGCAACTGGAGTGACAGTGCATCACAAGTTTTGTTGTAGGAATCAAATAAAATTTAGTCCTCTCTAAAGGAAGGCAAAATACAGCCTTGGATATATAATGACTTCCTTAAATTCAGCGTGACCTCAGCCTAAATTGATTTAATAATTAAAATAATATTCTATCATTTCCCTTACTTCTTTACTGATTTCATTTTGTGAAGAATTTTGCATTATTTCTGCATCAGCATGTTAACAACAACTGTTTTATAAATTTGTAAGACAAGCCTTTAGATCTCTGGTCTTCTTGGCTAAGAGGACATGGATAAAGTTTTTTTTTTTTTTTTTTTTTTAATTTACATAATATTTTAAAATATGAGCAATGCATTGGCTATAGAATTTTATATGTCTTCATGTTTTTGTGCAGATTCTCAGCTGATAGATTTACATTGCACTTAACTCTGGGTAATTTTATGTCATTATTCTCTTACATAATAATAGAAAAGTACATATAAGGCTTTTTTACTAACGTTTACAAAAATTCTTTCTACCAAGTATGTGATTTTTAGTCATTAATGAATCCCAAGGTCTACTTATGAGGTGTTGTAGGCAAAACTACAGGATTTCATAATTTGCATGGAGAACAGTGAATAGCTTCAAGGCTGTTTATAGCCCATCTTAGTCTACATTTAAGATGAAAAAGATTATTAAGATGGAAAAAAAATTATTACAGAAAGTCTTTAGAAATGGATAAAATGAGGGGAAAAAAACACCCTGATCAATTAACTAATTAATAATAGCATTGAATTTAAGCTTTAAACTAGTACAGGCTCCTGCAGAATAAGTCATTGCATTCAGTGGATCCTGAACTATGCATAAGAGAGAAGTTCTGCCGATGACCACAGGGATAGATATGTATTTCAATAATATAATTGTCTTATACAGTAAGTTACTTTGTTCTTAATGCTTCCACAAATATTTACGTGGAATAATATGACTGCTAATCACTAATGATTCCCCAGGGTTTATGTCTTTCCCAAGCACTGATTCTCCAGAAGGAGGGGGACAAGAACACAAGTAAAGAGGCTGTCCCACCTCCTGCAGAATGAAACTGTCAAATTCCCCCTTCAAAAACAAAGAAGAAATCAGGAGTTGGCAAGAAAAAAATAAAAACAACCAAACAGCTCAGTGCTTAAAATGGCTGTTCTGGAGACCTGGTGACAAGGATCTTTTAAAACTTGATTGAAAGAAAAAAAAAAAAGGAAAACAAACATATCCACCTCTTACTAGCACAACAACAAGGCGGCCAGGTTTGTTTAAGCTGAGGAATGGGCATGTTTGTCTTCAACCCTTTTGAAACAGGTGACAGATATTGTGCCAGAAAAAATTTACTGACACAATTATTGTTTCTTCAAGTCAATGTTTGGTGGCTAAGGGTGTTCACTCTCCTAACATAATCTCTAGATATTTTTTCCCCAAAGGTGAGGAAGTTTGCTGCAAGAAAAAGAATCGAACTGCGGAGACCCACTGAAAGTTTACAAGGTGGAGGCAATCCAGGGCTAAAAATATTTGAAACCCTGTTCTAGCGTGTGTGCATATCTGCTTCAGAGTCACAGCCTGTTTGCACAGCCAAAGCTTGTGTCCTAACAGTCTGCTTGAGACCAGTCCTTCCTTCTGCTTTAGCTCCTTTCCCCTGAGAGGCTGCACTTCTTTGTTAATTATTCTTTCCTCATATACTTAGTAAACTTCTGACCTCGTTTCATCCACTGATCTAGGAAGAATGCTGTTAGAAATGTATATGGGAATCCTCTAAAATTAAGTAACTCTGACTGCTACATATTCTCTAGGGAAAAGGAACAGTACACTTCTTGACACATTTTCCACTCAAATGAGTAATGCTAAATCTTTTCCTTGTATGTCCTGCATGATTTCATGTTGCATTAATAATTCCAGATACATATCACTGATGTTAGTTAATTTTTTTTGTTAAATATTTGGAGATGCCCCGGTTCTCCTCTATCCTGTTACCATTACTCTCTTTTCCATCTTTCCTTCTCCTTTAGTGCCTCCCTCTCCTATCCTGTATATGGAGAATGATAGAATAAAGTATCTGCCTAGCAGACATTCTTTATGCTGAAAATAAAAATTCACCATAGACCTTTCTGATGTCAAAGATGGACTGCAGTATATTTTACTGTAATTGGTTTTGGCTTCTGTAAAGAAACTTTCTTCCTGTAACAGAAGTAGTGGCTTCAGTTCAGTTAGGTCAAAATATTATTCCATTTCCCTGTGTTTGCTTGTTTCTTTCCACCATTGCTTTTAAAATAATTGAGAGTATTGCAACACTTCAGAGCATTACAGTAAAGACAACTGAAGTGGGTGCAGATTATCCATACCTCTTTAGATACTCTGAATCGTGCTGGAAGAGCCAAACCTTTGGACAGAAACACATTTGCATGACTCAGCCTTTTGATAAGTCCTCCATCACTAGATACTTAAAAAGAAAGAATAAAGATTACCATCTGACTCACTCATCCATGTTTATCTGAACAAGTGAAATGAAAATGTACAGTGGTTTTGCACCCAGAAAATATTTCATTCTCACTGACCTCAGTGTCAGGGATGGTTATGGAGCAGATAATCATGAGTGAAATCACATAGTAAGTGTGAGACAGCCAGGGGATCAGCCCAGCCAGCATGTGTTCATGAAAGGCAGGTCCTACCTGACCAACCTCATGTCCTTCTATGACCAGGTGACTTGCATGGTGGATGAGGGAGATGCTGTTGACATAGTCTACCTAGACCTCAGCACAGCCTTTGACACTGTCTCCCACAGTATCCTCCTAGAGAAGCTGCAGCCTGTGGCTTAGACGAGTGTAATATTTGCTTGATGGCTGGACCCAGAGGATGTGTTGGTGAATGGAGTTAAATCCAGCCTGGTGGCTGATCACGAGTGCTGCTCCCAAGAGGTCAGTATTGGAGAGAGTTCTCTTTAATATCATTATTGATGATCTGGATCAGGGATTGAGTGCACCCTCAGTAAGTTTGCAGATCACACCAATTTGGGAGGAAGTGTTGATCTGCCTGAGAAGAAAGGCCCTACAAAGGGATCTGGGCAGGCTGTATAGCTGGGCTGAGGTCAGTGGAATGAGGTTCAACAAGACCAAATGCAGGGTCCTGCACTTCAGTCATAACAAACCCAGGCAATGCTACAGGTCTGGGGCAAAATGCCTGGAAAGCTGCATGGAGGAAAAGGATTTGAGGATGTTAGCTGACAGCCAGCTGAACATGAGCCAGTAGCGTGCCCAGTTGGCCAAAGAAGTTTCTTTTAAGGTAGTCAGGAAAACTAGGGTCCATAGTATCCAAACGAGTAAATAAAACTTGGTGAGGAGCATATGACTGAAAGATTTTCTGTCAAGATGAAGTGATAAAAAGCCTATATAGAATAGACCAACACCTCCATGCAGCAGCTGAGGTCATTGATAAGCAGTGGAGAAAAATACAAGAGGAAATACAAAGATATCTAGAATTTTGTATAATTGTTTATAGGATTATCCCTTGCAGCAAGGGATATATGGCAACAAGGATTCCTAAAACTCTTCTTGTCCTGTCTGAAGTGGTTAGTCATAAAGATGAGCTGGTTTATTGTTCGTTTTTCAAAAACAGCCCTTGTTGAGAACCTTGACATTGCTCCAAGTGTAAAACTGGACTCTGTTTTATTGTAGATTATTCAAAAGCATGGCTAATGTTTTGTGAGTATAGGAAGAAAATAAGTGAAACTTTTTAAAAATGCAGATGTCAAGGGCAGCCAGCTGATTTTGCAGTGGAAAGATTTGAATAGCAAAATCCTGCTCATCCCAGAAGAGCAATTATGATTTATTGATATAAGCATTTAAGAGAAGCTTAGTCATAAATCCTAGCTGCAGTCAATGACAGTGAGCCTAGATTTAAAGCCTGACTTCTTGGTTGTCAGGGTGAATAATCTGAGGGCCTGAGTTCATGGCAGCAACCTTAGCTGGACGGTTGTGATGTATTGGCTGGCGACCCTTGAGGTAGAGCTGAGTTTCCATTTAAACTCAGAGCTAGTAAAATCAAGTCGTTCTCCAAAAATGTGTGAGTGATTGAGAACTGAACTTTTGTATTCCAAAATGCAACAATGGTGAGTATTTGACAGGTTCAAACTACAGACTTGCAAACAGAAGAGCTATAGTTCAGGGAAACTTTAGAGAACACAGTAAAATTGGAGATGCAATGTTCAGCATCTTATGCTTGTAAGATCTGCCAGTTTCAGAGGTAGAGTAAAAAGATGCAGAGAAGATATTTGTGAGTGATGGATAGAACAGGGCCTTTTTCTTCTTTGTTAAAATGTCTGATGTTGAACATGAAACAAAAGAGAGGATTCAGATTACAATGAAACAGATTGTGTCTGTGCCAAAGTAGGATCAAAGGAAGCAGTATATTCTCTTGGAAAGCTTTTGGTCTGGCAGTTGAATAAAGAGGATATTTTTCAAATAATTTCTTTGGAAAAGAAATGCAGAATTTGAGCTTTATCTTATATGTGACTCAAGAATGTAGGTCTTTTACTTCTTATTCTAGATTAAATCCTGTTACATGGCTGCCTTTTGAAGGATTTAATTGCTCCAAGGATTCACGCTTACACAGTATTCTTCACCTCTTAGAAATCACCGTAAGTCCTACTTTAGTAATGCTATTCTTTGATGAGAATATATCACGACCTGTGTAAAGTGGGTTAGGACTTTCCTCATTCCCTTGTCATCACAATTGAATTCTGGCCAATATAAATGTCCTGTCTTATTGGCAGGGACCAAAGAAAAATCAGACGCACTGAGAGGATTGCAAATGAAGGACTTTTACAGCTAAGTAAGTAATAGTTTATTCTTCCAAAAACCAGAATATTTTGGATGAAAGAGATCAAGACACCAGTTCTTGGCTGCTATTGCTTATATTATGTCTGTTTTGTGGGTAAACAATAGCTCCAAAGCTCTGTTTTTCAAATAAGGAGATAAGTGTCTTCTTCTGCTCTGGTGAACGGTTAAAAACATAGAGCCAGAAATGTGCTTATAATTCCCATGAAAAGTAGGATGAAGGTTTCTGAGGGCTCATGGAGGTCATAATAAGAAAGCAGCACAAAAAAAAAAGTAGTTTCAGTTTTTAACGTCGTAGTTCTCAGTGTGCCACGTGCTTCGTATTTCACAAAGCGCTTGCTTTCATTCCAGCAAGGGTTTCGTTTTATTATTATTTTGCTATGGATTTCACTGGAGCTAAGATCACATTGCAAAAGTTAGTGGAAAACAGAAAACTGGAATTTCCTATGCATTTCTCACACTAATACTAAGTACCTTTTTAGGTAAAAATATGTATTTTGTTTTGTTTTCTTAGACTTATTCTAAGTATTTCCTCAAATTTATTACTTCTCAGTTCTGCTTTGGTTAACGAGTAATTCCACTTGCAGATCAGCCTGAAACACATTAAATAAATTAGAGGATCCAATTTGCTAAATTACCATTTTGAAAACATTCCATACTTCTACAACTACAAAATAAAGTTTGGATCCATTGTTTATTCTATTTTGTAGTGCAAAGCTAATTTGTTATTTACTGGAAATTTGTTTTCTATTGAACAGATTCAGAGAGTTTCCCAACCATGCCCTTTTCGTTTTACACTGTCATTGAAATAAAGATTCAGTTATTACCATTTCCATATTCTGGATATAATTATCCATTAAGCAAATGAAGAATAAATGGAATTGGAGAGACAGAGTGTATTTTTTTTTCTGGAAATCAAACTCTACCAGAAAGATCCTTTCATTCTCTTTTTTTTTTTTTTTTTTTTTTCCTATGAATAAAAGATGTATTTGTAGTTCCACAGAAGTAACTGCATGATGAAGAGAAACACATTTTGATGTTGTTATTTTCATATTGTCATGGTGCCAAATGACAGAGCTTTTATAATATTTGTGAGTCAGTGACTGTACAGAACAGTAGTTCCTGTTGATTAATTGTATTAGACAACAATATGAGCAGAGGTGAGAAAGCTGCTGCCAAGAAAAAACAAGACAGCAATGAGAAATACACAAATAATAAATATCTAAGGATGCACTGATACACATAAAACCATGTAGATGCCAATATATTTAATGGCAATGATGTCAATTTCAGTGAGAAGTAAGCACGCCTTCATGTTGACAATTTGAGTAGGTGAGAAAATCAAGATATTATGCTGGCTTGCAGACACTGAAATCAAAATCTCTCTCGGAAAAAAATAACAGAGATCACTGAAGTAAATATAAATTGTGCATAGATTTAAACCTTCAAAAGAAACTAGGATAAAGTACATAGTAATGGCCTTTTGCCAGTAAAATTATTTAGTCTTTCACCTTGCAGGTCCAAAATCTTGAGGTCAGGTTCACAGCAGAGCAGGGCCTGTGATTTCAGTGTTGCAAGTAGGGAAATGAACTGGTTTGCTACAGTGCATTATCCATATGCTTAAAGCTTTTTGAATATGTCAAACCAAATTCTGTCTTGAGAAATATGTGCACTAAATCCTGATGTTTTTTTGTTTGTTTGTTTGTTTAGTTTGAACTTTTTTTTTAAAGTTATCTTACCTATACTGTCATCTCCTTTTTTGTTTATTTTACTTACAGAAACACCATTACCCGTGTATAATCACAGTTGACTTAGCAGTGATGGCTCAGGGAATTTGTTTAAGGAGAATTTATCAGTTCTGGGTAAGGCTCTGAAATTGTCCCTTAATTGGATGCTTTAATACACACCAAACCATACAATCTGCCATTGGCATCTTTTTCTCTAGCAGAAATGGAAATCACTTAAAGCTTGCTGGCCATTCAGGCAGATGGACCACCAACAGACCCAAAACACAGCCACTGTTTTGGTGCAAAATCACAGCGCAACACCTAACTCCTCCTGCAGGCAATCTGTGAGTCAACTTGAAATGGAGCTTGAAATTGTAGAAAGGAAGATCCCTGTGCTAGATATGTAAAACAATGCTTCAGCTGGCAGACAAGAAAAAAAAAAAAAGAAAGAAAAAAAAAGAAAAAGGATATTTTAAAATAAGAGGAAAAAAAAGACTTAAAGACCAATTGAGAAACCAGTAAGAGAAGAAAACTAAGAGAAGAAAACTTAACAGTTAATTGAGATTGAGGGTCCTTACTTAGCAGAAGAGAGACAGCGTATGGGAAAGGCTATTAGGGGTCAGGGTTTTTATGTAAATGGGGAAAATGAAGAAAATACATACTTACAGACATTTATTGTTAAATGCAGATCAGTTTCTTCATTATGCCAGCCAAAGTAAGGAGTGAACACTTAAAGGCAAATCATAGAATCATAGAATGGCTTCAGTTGAAAGTGACCTTAAAGATTATCAAGTTCCAACCCCCTGAAAGGGTTGAAATGTTTGCTTCTGCTGTAGTGCTGCATCTCTCTCTGCAACCATTCTCTTTGGATTACTTAGGCAGAAATCTGATTTAAATGTTCATCTTAAAGAAAGACATTAATGCAAAGAGAACTTCCTGGCCTTGCTTACAGGGAAAGATGTTGACATGGGAAGCCCTTCAAAAGCCCTCTGCACTCTAGTTTTGGAGGATGTGAAAAGTCCAGTGGAGTAACCTGATTCAGATGAAACAGAAAGTGCTCACCCACTTCCTTTTCATGTGGAGAGACTTGAAAGCATTCATGTTTGATGATGTGAGACTCAAATCCCCATCCCTGGAGGTGTTCAAGGCCAGATTGGATGGGGCCCTGAGCAACCTGGTCTGGTATTAAATGGGGATGGGGAGGTTGGTGGACCTGCACGTGGTAGGGGGATTGGAGATCCGTGATCCTTGAGGTCCCTTCCAACCCTGGCCATTCTGTGATTCTGTGAAATGCTGAACTTAGTGACTGCCTGGCAGGCTGGATCTTAATGGTGTCATTTGCTATCCCAAATGGACAAGAGGATTCCTTCTATGCAGAACAAGATGGGGAATGATCTCACAAGTTTCCTGCTAATGCTTTGTCAATTATTATTATTATCATCATTAAACAGAGCATTAAACTACATAGAATCTCATAACAATAAATGACACTTTTGGTACATTACCTGTTTAATACTACAGTAATTGCTTGTGATTAGATATAACTAATAAAAAGTCTTCTTGCCAACATGATCTTTTTAATTAAGTATTTCATAGCTTCTAGTAAAAGCAAAATGAATTCTCAGTTGGTGTAATATCAATCTGGGACACCAGCCCTGATGGTGTGTTTTTCTGCTTTTCTCCAATGTTACCTCTGCAGTTTGATCCACACAAGAACTGAAGGCTACTGATGTCACTTTCTTCAAACAGTTCTGCTGACCCCCTTTTACCATAGATACAATTATTCAGATTTTGACACCACTTGTTCCTCTTCCTGCTCCCTCTAAGTGCAATCCCAAAGGAGTTTAAGATTCAGTGATGTGACTCTTTGTGACAATTTTATGAGCAATAATATCAGACTTGCTTGACTTCCAAATTCTTCAGGAAATGAGCATGAAAGCTTGAAAAATGTTGAAGTTAATATTGAACAGATTAACAGATAATATAGCTCTGACAGGTTTATTGGCATCTTCAGAAGTGGAAAACATAGACAGAAACACCAAACTTCATCCCAGCATTCACAGCACTGATACTTGTGAACTCTTACAAAGAAACATCAGGTTGTTTCCAAAACCTAACTTTCATATTACCATTCTGTCCACCCAGAATCAGATCTTGAGGTTTGGATCATTATCAAATATTAATATCTAGTTGAATAAGGTTTCCTTTAATCATCTTTCAAACATTTGTGTGAAGAATTTTCAATAACATTCAATAGGTTTCCATTTCTACTTTATTTCAGCACTTCACTCTGAGTCTACACCTACTGTTAATGCTCCTTAGGGACTAACAAATCCAAATCTTTCTACTATTGTGTCCCTGGAGTTTGTTATCTCCTAGCATAGCCACCCTAACCCAGAGACACGTTCCTCTAAATCCAGCTGCCACACTATCCCACTCTGTATCTTCAACACTCCAAGTATTAATTCTTCATATGTATTTGTATGTCCTAGGGCTGGGGTGGTAAATTACTGTTTATTTTAATGGCAGAGGATGAAAGCCTACCAAGAACTTTCCTGAAAATACCGAGGAAGATGCTATTAGCAGGTGATGCTGCCCAACTGTCTCATGAGAATATGTGGTCCAGTCACCGGAATTCACTCCGTCTGTAGCTCAGGTACTTGATCAAAATTGACAGGCATTCAATGATAGCAAAGGAACTGCAGGTTAAGTTTCAGCCCACTTCTTATGTTTATTTTGATTGTACTGCTTTTTCCAAGTTAAAACTAAAAATGCAAGCAAATTTTTCTCCATCTGTAGCAGTAGGAAGAGAACGCTTCTAGTACACATATCTCCCGAAAACTGCTATTTTCCACAGTCCTTATGTCACAGCTTTCAGTTTCTCAAATGATTTGTTTCAAAACTATGCTGACACAGAAAGCTGAACAGATATTGTTTGCAGAAGGGAAAAAAAGACGAGAAATTTTACTGGGATAATTTTATATACTTTTACAGTAGGGCTTCAGTCTCATACTGGTCAGCAGAGGCTCTTTCAGGAAGATATTTAGTACCTTTGTAGATTATATGAGAGAAAAGAGGCAAAATATGTAATGGAAATGCTCTTACAATTAGACTATTTATTACTTCTAGCCGTAAACTGGTTGTAAATATGGCTTTTCTGGCATAGCTCCTGGCAAGCAAACTAACTACAGTGATGCAAAGTTGTGGAGTTTCCATTTCATTTCTTGCCTCATTAATTTCATTAACTTACAAATAGATGAATACATAAAATTAAAAAGTAATTTCCTTTTAATATTTTTAAATTACTCTCTCCAAGTATTCAAACCTTTTAATCTGCTCTTTTAAGGTCTCCATCTAATTGCTTTTACGGAGACATAATTGAGGTTTTGTGAATCAAATATCAGTATGATTGATTATAAAAAAGCTAATCAGAGAGTGCCATTCACAAGACAAATGCAATTGTTTCTAAAATATTTGCTTGCAGTCTCTGCCACTTTACTAACTTTGCAGCGTGTGCAAAACGATGTGTGGGTGCAATGTGTTAAGGTGTGATTTTATGTGGGGAAATCAAACCTAGTCATGGAGAGAAGTCTGTTTCTTCTTTTTCTTATACAAGGACAGATTGCATGGGAATTATAGTGTTTCCCATTTAATAGAAGTAGCCTTTGTTTTGATGTTTTTCACAACAGTGACAAATGGCAGCTAAAAAGAAAAGGGGAGAATGTAATCAATCTTCCCACCTTTAAAAATAGCTGAAAAAGAGAAGAAAAACTAAACTACTTAAAAAACTCATTTGAGACAAACAGTTATCTGCAAGATAAAGCAAGTGCAGAAGACGACTGGGGCTGGATGGCCTGGTCTTGGGCAGGCAAAAATGTGGCTCTGTTTCTTCTATCTGTTTGGGATTCCAGTTTCCATGGGCAGAACAGAGCAGCAGGTATGTCCAGAAAGGAGAGTGCTCACTAAAAAGGCCACAGAGTGAGTCTGAGAGCAGAAAATATGTAAGGAAGAAACAAGAAAGAAAAATGGAATCTTATTTCAAGAATTCCAAAGTACTGGTTGACTTTGTCAATAGCATCAAAGACTTCAAGGGGTTATTCAGTCTGGAAATCATCTAGATGGCTAACATTTATTTAATAGTATTTTAATAATGCAACAATTTAATGTTCACACTTACTATTAAAAGGAAAAGAAAGCAGAACAGTAAAATTACATCCTGTGATATTTGAATGATATTTCTCTAAAGTTAGGACAAGCCACAAAAATATAAAGCCGAAAATTTCACTGTATCCTGAGGAATCCATTCCAAAAGCTTGTATTATAAATGAAAGATGAAAATACGTAATGTCTCGATCATTTTGCTGAACTGAGTGGAAATTAACTCCTGGGAGGATTAGATCAGACTCTGCAATGGACAGTTTTGGTGATGGAATGCTTGGAAGGGAAAACTTATCACTTCTTAGATCATGTAAGATGCGAAACAAACAGGCCAAATTAAGTGGTCGGTTGTTTATTCTGGTATTTAAAATGGCATAAATGAGACTCACCTGGGTTTACAAACCTGGTCTCTTCAGTTCAAGAAGAATGGGGAACTATTGGAGAGAGTCCAATAGAGAGAGAGTGGAGAGCTATGGAGACGCCAGGTACCCGGTGCATCTCCATATGAGGAAATGCTGAGAGATGTGGGGCTGTTCCACCTGAAGAAAACTGAGGAGGAATCATATCAATGCTTATAAAGATCTAATAGGTGGGAGCATGCTTTTTTCAATGGTGCCCAGTAATAGGATATGGGGCAATGGACACGTGGTGGAACACTGGAAGTTCCATATCAACATGATGAAAAACTTGTTTACTTTGAGGGTTACAGAACACTGGAACAGGCTGCCCAGAGTGGTGCTGGAGTCTCCTTCTCAGGAAATATACAACACATTCCTGGATACTTTTCTATGTAACCTAATATAGGGAACCTTCTCTAGCAGAGAGTTAGACTCGATCTACAGAAGTTCCTTCCAACACCTACAGTTCTGTGATTCCCTGACCTACTGCTCATATAACCTCAATCAGGCTCAGTTTAGTGCCTGTGGTAAGTGTCAATCTAATATTTTTTCTTTGACACATTTTTAGTAGACAGTAGA